TATTATTATTATTATTATTATTATTATTATTAACTGGTTTGAGGGAAAGAGACAAACGGGAAAGGTCTGAAGAAAAAATTGACTGTCACCACCAGGACTCGAACCAGGGACCCTCGCTTGTAGCCAGCGATGCTCTAACCACTGAGCTATGGTGTAGTCGTCATCCCAGCAGAGGCCGTTCAACATTTTCTTCAGACTTCGTAACTCACACTTCCTGTGAATCTACACAGGCGGGTGGGACGCAGCCCTCACTGTAACCCACACACTTCACGTACAAACTAGCACGCGGGGAGCCCCAAGTCATAAAATATTAACTGGTTTGAGGGAAAGAGACAAACGGGAAAGGTCTGAAGAAAAAATTGACTGTCACCACCAGGACTCGAACCAGGGACCCTCGCTTGTAGCCAGCGATGCTCTAACCACTGAGCTATGGTGTAGTCGTCATCCCAGCAGAGGCCGTTCAACATTTTCTTCAGACTTCGTAACTCACACTTCCTGTGAATCTACACAGGCGGGTGGGACGCAGCCCTCACTGTAACCCACACACTTCACGTACAAACTAGCACGCGGGGAGCCCCAAGTCATAAAATATTAACTGGTTTGAGGGAAAGAGACAAACGGGAAAGGTCTGAAGAAAAAATTGACTGTCACCACCAGGACTCGAACCAGGGACCCTCGCTTGTAGCCAGCGATGCTCTAACCACTGAGCTATGGTGTAGTCGTCATCCCAGCAGAGGCCGTTCAACATTTTCTTCAGACTTCGTAACTCACACTTCCTGTGAATCTACACAGGCGGGTGGGACGCAGCCCTCACTGTAACCCACACACTTCACGTACAAACTAGCACGCGGGGAGCCCCAAGTCATAAAATATTAACTGGTTTGAGGGAAAGAGACAAACGGGAAAGGTCTGAAGAAAAAATTGACTGTCACCACCAGGACTCGAACCAGGGACCCTCGCTTGTAGCCAGCGATGCTCTAACCACTGAGCTATGGTGTAGTCGTCATCCCAGCAGAGGCCGTTCAACATTTTCTTCAGACTTCGTAACTCACACTTCCTGTGAATCTACACAGGCGGGTGGGACGCAGCCCTCACTGTAACCCACACACTTCACGTACAAACTAGCACGCGGGGAGCCGATTATTATTATTATTATTATTAGCTCAGTGGTTAGAGCATCGCTGGCTACAAGCGAGGGTCCCTGGTTCGAGTCCTGGTGGTGACAGTCAATTTTTTCTTCAGACTTTTCCCGTTTGTCTCTTTCCCTCAAACCAGTCAATATTTTATGACTTGGGGCTCCCCGCGTACTAGTTTGTACGTGAAGTGTGTGGGTTACAGTGAGGGCTGCGTCCCACCCGCCTGTGTGGATTCACAGGAAGTGTGAGTTACGAAGTCTGAAGAAAATGTTGAACGGCCTCTGCTGGGATGACGACTACACCATAGCTCAGTGGTTAGAGCATCGCTGGCTACAAGCGAGGGTCCCTGGTTCGAGTCCTGGTGGTGACAGTCAATTTTTTCTTCAGACTTTTCCCGTTTGTCTCTTTCCCTCAAACCAGTCAATATTATTATTATTATTATTATTATTATTATTATTATTCAAAGGATCAGTCGGGGAAGTGAACTGTCTGAAAAGAGAAAAAAACGCCAGACCCACCAGGACTCGAACCTGGGACCCTGCTTGTCATGAGCAATGCTCTAACCACTGAGCTATGGGACCAGGCTGAACCTAGAAGGTGCTGACAAGTTTTTCACTCCAAAGGCAGCTCACAACACGTGCCACACATACTGATGGCACTTGAGTCTTTTTCCCTCCCCCAGGGGACCAACCACGGTCAGTTTCTGGAAACTACCAGAGGTGAAAGAAAGTGATTAAATTTGGAAAGGATGGGAGAACTTCAAATTCAAAGGATCGGTCGAGGAAGTGAACTGCCTGAAAAGAGAAAAAAACGCCAGACCCACCAGGACTCGAACCTGGGACCCTGCTTGTCATGAGCAATGCTCTAACCACTGAGCTATTGGACCAGGCTGAACCTAGAAGGCGCTGACAAGTTTTTCACTCCAAAGGCAGCTCACAACACGTGCCACACATACTGATGGCACTTGGGTCTTTTTCCCTCCCCCAGGGGACCAACCACGGTCAGTTTCTGGAAACTACCAGAGGTGAAAGAAAGTGATTAAATTTGGAAAGGATGGGAGAACTTCAAATTCAAAGGATCAGTCGGGGAAGTGAACTGCCTGAAAAGAGAAAAAACGCCAGACCCACCAGGACTCGAACCTGGGACCCTGCTTTTCATGAGCAATACTCTAACCACTGAGCTATGGGACCAGGCTGAACCTAGAAGGCGCTGACAAGTTTTTCACTCCAAAGGCAGCTCACAACACGTGCCACACATACTGGTGGCACTTGAGTCTTTTTCCCTCCCCCAGGGGACCAACCACCGTCAGTTTCTGGAAACTACCAGAGGTGAAAGAAAGTGATTAAATTTGGAAAGGATGGGAGAACTTCAAATTCAAAGGATCAGTCGGGGAAGTGAACTGCCTGAAAAGAGAAAAAAACGCCAGACCCACCAGGACTCGAACCTGGGACCCTGCTTTTCATGAGCAATACTCTAACCACTGAGCTATGGGACCAGGCTGAACCTAGAAGGCGCTGACAAGTTTTTCACTCCAAAGGCAGCTCACAACACGTGCCACACATACTGATGGCACTTGGGTCTTTTTCCCTCCCCCAGGGGACCAACCACGGTCAGTTTCTGGAAACTACCAGAGGCGAAAGAAAGTGATTAAATTTGGAAAGGATGGGAGAACTTCAAATTCAAAGGATCAGTCGGGGAAGTGAACTGCCTGAAAAGAGAAAAAAACGCCAGACCCACCAGGACTCGAACCTGGGACCCTGCTTGTCATGAGCAATGCTCTAACCACTGAGCTATGGGACCAGGCTGAACCTAGAAGGCGCTGACAAGTTTTTCACTCCAAAGACAGCTCACAACACGTGCCACACATACTGATGGCACTTGGGTCTTTTTCCCTCCCCCAGGGGACCAACCACGGTCAGTTTCTGGAAACTACCAGAGGCAAAAGAAAGTGATTAAATTTGGAAAGGATGGGAGAACTTCAAATTCAAAGGATCAGTCGGAGAAGTGAACTGCCTGAAAAGAGAAAAAAACGCCAGACCCACCAGGACTCGAACCTGGGACCCTGCTTGTCATGAGCAATGCTCTAACCACTGAGCTATGGGACCAGGCGGAACCTAGAAGGCGCTGACATGTTTTTCACTCCAAAGGCAGCTCACAACACGTGCCACACATACTGATGGCACTTGAGTCTTTTTCCCTCCTCCAGGGGACCAACCACGGTCAGTTTCTGGAAACTACCAGAGGTGAAAGAAAGTGATTAAATTTGGAAAGGATGGGAGAACTTCAAATTCAAAGGATCGGTCGAGGAAGTGAACTGCCTGAAAAGAGAAAAAAACGCCAGACCCACCAGGACTCGAACCTGGGACCCTGCTTGTCATGAGCAATGCTCTAACCACTGAGCTATGGGACCAGGCTGAACCTAGAAGGCGCTGACAAGTTTTTCACTCCAAAGGCAGCTCACAACACGTGCCACACATACTGATGGCACTTGGGTCTTTTTCCCTCCCCCAGGGGACCAACCACGGTCAGTTTCTGGAAACTACCAGAGGTGAAAGAAAGTGATTAAATTTGGAAAGGATGGGAGAACTTCAAATTCAAAGGATCAGTCGGGGAAGTGAACTGCCTGAAAAGAGAAAAAACGCCAGACCCACCAGGACTCGAACCTGGGACCCTGCTTTTCATGAGCAATACTCTAACCACTGAGCTATGGGACCAGGCTGAACCTAGAAGGCGCTGACAAGTTTTTCACTCCAAAGGCAGCTCACAACACGTGCCACACATACTGGTGGCACTTGAGTCTTTTTCCCTCCCCCAGGGGACCAACCACGGTCAGTTTCTGGAAACTACCAGAGGTGAAAGAAAGTGATTAAATTTGGAAAGGATGGGAGAACTTCAAATTCAAAGGATCAGTCGGGGAAGTGAACTGCCTGAAAAGAGAAAAAAACGCCAGACCCACCAGGACTCGAACCTGGGACCCTGCTTTTCATGAGCAATACTCTAACCACTGAGCTATGGGACCAGGCTGAACCTAGAAGGCGCTGACAAGTTTTTCACTCCAAAGGCAGCTCACAACACGTGCCACACATACTGATGGCACTTGGGTCTTTTTCCCTCCCGCAGGGGACCAACCACGGTCAGTTTCTGGAAACTACCAGAGGAGAAAGAAAGTGACTAAAATTTGGAAAGGATGGGAGAACTTCAAATTCAAAGGATCAGTCGGGGAAGTGAACTGCCTGAAAAGAGAAAAAAACGCCAGACCCAACCAGGACTCGAACCTGGGACCCTGCTTGTCATGAGCAATGCTCTAACCACTGAGCTATAGGACCAGGCTGAACCTAGAAGGCGCTGACAAGTTTTTCACTCCAAAGGCAGCTCACAACACGTGCCACACATACTGATGGCACTTGGGTCTTTTTCCCTCCCCCAGGGGAACAACCACGGTCAGTTTCTGGAAACTACCAGAGGCGAAAGAAAGTGATTAAATTTGGAAAGGATGGGAGAACTTCAAATTCAAAGGATCAGTCGGGGAAGTGAACTGCCTGAAAAGAGAAAAAAACGCCAGACCCACCAGGACTCGAACCTGGGACCCTGCTTGTCATGAGCAATGCTCTAACCACTGAGCTATGGGACCAGGCTGAACCTAGAAGGCGCTGACAAGTTTTTCACTCCAAAGACAGCTCACAACACGTGCCACACATACTGATGGCACTTGGGTCTTTTTCCCTCCCCCAGGGGACCAACCACGGTCAGTTTCTGGAAACTACCAGAGGTGAAAGAAAGTGATTAAATTTGGAAAGGATGGGAGAACTTCAAATTCAAAGGATCAGTCGGGGAAGTGAACTGCCTGAAAAGAGAAAAAAACGCCAGACCCACCAGGACTCGAACCTGGGACCCTGCTTTTCATGAGCAATACTCTAACCACTGAGCTATGGGACCAGGCTGAACCTAGAAGGCGCTGACAAGTTTTTCACTCCAAAGGCAGCTCACAACACGTGCCACACATACTGATGGCACTTGGGTCTTTTTCCCTCCCGCAGGGGACCAACCACGATCAGTTTCTGGAAACTACCAGAGGAGAAAGAAAGTGACTAAAATTTGGAAAGGATGGGAGAACTTCAAATTCAAAGGATCAGTCGGGGAAGTGAACTGCCTGAAAAGAGAAAAAAACGCCAGACCCAACCAGGACTCGAACCTGGGACCCTGCTTGTCATGAGCAATGCTCTAACCACTGAGCTTTAGGACCAGGCTGAACCTAGAAGGCGCTGACAAGTTTTTCACTCCAAAGGCAGCTCACAACACGTGCCACACATACTGATGGCACTTGGGTCTTTTTCCCTCCCCCAGGGGACCAACCACGGTCAGTTTCTGGAAACTACCAGAGGCGAAAGAAAGTGATTAAATTTGGAAAGGATGGGAGAACTTCAAATTCAAAGGATCAGTCGGGGAAGTGAACTGCCTGAAAAGAGAAAAAAACGCCAGACCCACCAGGACTCGAACCTGGGACCCTGCTTGTCATGAGCAATGCTCTAACCACTGAGCTATGGGACCAGGCTGAACCTAGAAGGCGCTGACAAGTTTTTCACTCCAAAGACAGCTCACAACACGTGCCACACATACTGATGGCACTTGGGTCTTTTTCCCTCCCCCAGGGGACCAACCACGGTCAGTTTCTGGAAACTACCAGAGGCGAAAGAAAGTGATTAAATTTGGAAAGGATGGGAGAACTTCAAATTCAAAGGATCAGTCGGGGAAGTGAACTGCCTGAAAAGAGAAAAAAACGCCAGACCCACCAGGACTCGAACCTGGGACCCTGCTTGTCATGAGCAATGCTCTAACCACTGAGCTATGGGACCAGGCTGAACCTAGAAGGCGCTGACAAGTTTTTCACTCCAAAGGCAGCTCACAACACGTGCCACACATACTGATGGCACTTGGGTCTTTTTCCCTCCCCCCAGGGACCAACCACGGTCAGTTTCTGGAAACTACCAGAGGTGAAAGAACGTGATTAAATTTGGAAAGGATGGGAGAACTTCAAATTCAAAGGATCAGTCGGGGAAGTGAACTGCCTGAAAAGAGAAAAAAACGCCAGACCCACCAGGACTCGAACCTGGGACCCTGCTTGTCATGAGCAATGCTCTAACCACTGAGCTATGGGACCAGGCTGAACCTAGAAGGCGCTGACAAGTTTTTCACTCCAAAGGCAGCTCACAACACGTGCCACACATACTGATGGCACTTGGGTCTTTTTCCCTCCCCCAGGGGACCAACCACGGTCAGTTTCTGGAAACTACCAGAGGTGAAAGAAAGTGATTAAATTTGGAAAGGATGGGAGAACTTCAAATTCAAAGGATCAGTCGGGGAAGTGAACTGCCTGAAAAGAGAAAAAAACGCCAGACCCACCAGGACTCGAACCTGGGACCCTGCTCGTCATGAGCAATGCTCTAACCACTGAGCTATGGGACCAGGCTGAACCTAGAAGGCGCTGACAAGTTTTTCACTCCAAAGGCAGCTCACAACACGTGCCACACATACTGATGGCACTTGGGTCTTTTTCCCTCCCCCAGGGGACCAACCACGGTCAGTTTCTGGAAACTACCAGAGGCGAAAGAAAGTGATTAAATTTGGAAAGGATGGGAGAACTTCAAATTCAAAGGATCAGTCGGGGAAGTGAACTGCCTGAAAAGAGAAAAAAACGCCAGACCCACCAGGACTCGAACCTGGGACCCTGCTTGTCATGAGCAATGCTCTAACCACTGAGCTATGGGACCAGGCTGAACCTAGAAGGCGCTGACCAGTTTTTCACTCCAAAGGCAGCTCACAACACGTGCCACACATACTGATGGCACTTGGGTCTTTTTCCCTCCCCCAGGGGACCAACCACGGTCAGTTTCTGGAAACTACCAGAGGCGAGAGAAAGTGATTAAATTTGGAAAGGATGGGAGAACTTCAAATTCAAAGGATCAGTCGGGGAAGTGAACTGCCTGAAAAGAGAAAATAACGCCAGACCCACCAGGACTCGAACCTGGGACCCTGCTTGTCATGAGCAATGCTCTAACCACTGAGCTATGGGACCAGGCTGAACCTAGAAGGCGCTGACAAGTTTTTCACTCTAAAGGCAGCTCACAACACGGACCACACATACTGATGGCACTTGGGTCTTTTTCCCTCCCCCAGGGGACCAACCACGGTCAGTTTCTGGAAACTACCAGAGGCGAAAGAAAGTGATTAAATTTGGAAAGGATGGGAGAACTTCAAATTCAAAGGATCAGTCGGGGAAGTGAACTGCCTGAAAAGAGAAAAAAACGCCAGACCCACCAGGACTCGAACCTGGGACCCTGCTTGTCATGAACAATGCTCTAACCACTGAGCTATGGGACCAGGCTGAACCTAGAAGGCGCTGACAAGTTTTTCACTCCAAAGGCAGCTCACAACACGTGCCACACATACTGATGGCACTTGGGTCTTTTTCCCTTCCCCAGGGGACCAACCACGGTCAGTTTCTGGAAACTACCAGAGGTGAAAGAAAGTGAATAAATTTGGAAAGGATGGGAGAACTTCAAATTCAAAGGATCAGTCGGGGAAGTGAACTGCCTGAAAAGAGAAAAAAACGCCAGACCTACCAGGACTCGAACCTGGGACCCTGCTTGTCATGAGCAATGCTCTAACCACTGAGCTATGGGACCAGGCTGAACCTAGCAGGCGCTGACAAGTTTTTCACTCCAAAGGCAGCTCACAACACGTGCCACACATACTGATGGCACTTGGGTCTTTTCCCCTCCCCCCGGGGACCAACCACGGTCAGTTTCTGGAAACTACCAGAGGTGAAAGAAAGTGATTATATTTGGAAAGGATGGGAGAACTTCAAATTCAAAGGATCAGTCGGGGAAGTGAACTGCCTGAAAAGAGAAAAAAACACCAGACCCACCAGGACTCGAACCTGGGACCCTGCTTTTCCTGAGCAATGCTCCAACCACTGAGCTATGGGACCAGGCTGAACCTAGAAGGCGCTGACAAGTTTTTCACTCTAAAGGCAGCTCACAACACGTGCCACACATACTGATGGCACTTGGGTCTTTTTCCCTCCCCCAGGGGACCAACCACGGTCAGTTTCTGGAAACTACCAGAGGCGAAAGAAAGTGATTAAATTTGGAAAGGATGGGAGAACTTCAAATTCAAAGGATCAGTCGGGGAAGTGAACTGCCTGAAAAGAGAAAAAAAACGCCAGACCCACCAGGACTCGAACCTGGGACCCTGCTTGTCATGAGCAATGCTCTAACCACTGAGCTATGGGACCAGGCTGATCCTAGAAGGCGCTGACAAGTTTTTCACTCCAAAGGCAGCTCACAACACGTGCCACACATACTGATGGCACTTGGGTCTTTTTCCCTTCCCCAGGGGACCAACCACGGTCAGTTTCTGGAAACTACCAGAGGTGAAAGAAAGTGATTAAATTTGGAAAGGATGGGAGAACTTCAAATTCAAAGGATCAGTCGGGGAAGTGAACTGCCTGAAAAGAGAAAAAAACGCCAGACCCACCAGGACTCGAACCTGGGACCCTGCTTGTCATGAGCAATGCTCTAACCACTGAGCTATGGGACCAGGCTGAACCTAGAAGGCGCTGACAAGTTTTTCACTCTAAAGGCAGCTCACAACACGTGCCACACATACTGATGGCACTTGGGTCTTTTTCCCTCCCCCAGGGGACCAACCACGGTCAGTTTCTGGAAACTACCAGAGGCGAAAGAAAGTGATTAAATTTGGAAAGGATGGGAGAACTTCAAATTCAAAGGATCAGTCGGGGAAGTGAACTGCCTGAAAAGAGAAAAAAACGCCAGACCCACCAGGACTCGAACCTGGGACCCTGCTTGTCATGAGCAATGCTCTAACCACTGAGCTATGGGACCAGGCTGAACCTAGAAGGCGCTGACAAGTTTTTCACTCCAAAGGCAGCTCACAACACGTGCCACACATACTGATGGCACTTGGGTCTTTTTCCCTTCCCCAGGGGACCAACCACGGTCAGTTTCTGGAAACTACCAGAGGTGAAAGAAAGTGATTAAATTTGGAAAGGATGGGAGAACTTCAAATTCAAAGGATCAGTCGGGGAAGTGAACTGCCTGAAAAGAGAAAAAAACGCCAGACCTACCAGGACTCGAACCTGGGACCCTGCTTGTCATGAGCAATGCTCTAACCACTGAGCTATGGGACCAGGCTGAACCTAGAAGGCGCTGACAAGTTTTTCACTCCAAAGGCAGCTCACAACACGTGCCACACATACTGATGGCACTTGGGTCTTTTTCCCTTCCCCAGGGGACCAACCACGGTCAGTTTCTGGAAACTACCAGAGGTGAAAGAAAGTGATTAAATTTGGAAAGGATGGGAGAACTTCAAATTCAAAGGATCAGTCGGGGAAGTGAACTGCCTGAAAAGAGAAAAAACGCCAGACCCACCAGGACTCGAACCTGGGACCCTGCTTGTCATGAGCAATGCTCTAACCACTGAGCTATGGGACCAGGCTGAACCTAGAAGGCGCTGACAAGTTTTTCACTCCACTTTCAATGCACAATTCGAGTGGAACAGCTCCCGGCAACATGCCTTTGAATCGCTAAAGCATGCCTTGTTGAATGCGCCCCTATTGCGGCTGGCTGATGTGAACCGACCATTCAGAGTGGTAACAGATGCAAGCGATTTCGCCTTGGGATGTGTGCTTCTCCAAGAACTAGAGGAAGATGCCTGGCATCCAGTGGCTTATGCTAGCCGAAAATTGTCTGCTGCTGAACAGAATTATACAGCTACAGAAAGAGAAACATTGGCCGTAGTGTTTGCGCTAAAGACCTGGCGCATTTACCTCTTTGAACACTTTGAGGTCATTACCGACAACATGGCGGTAGTTTATCTGAAGACAAAACCAAGCATTACAAAGAGAGAGGCGCGAT